TTGGTCGAATAGGAAACAGCATCGAAGTCTGTGACACTGACAGTTAAGACGACCAATAGGTAGTAACATTTGAAATGACATTGACAGTTCGGATGACTTATAAGAGACAACATTGAAGTATTTGACTTTGACAGTTAAAACGACCATAATTTTGACCAATAGAAATAGACCAATAGGACTTGACCAATAATTTTCTTAGGATGTTGGATGAATATCCTAACAATTATGTTGAGCAAGACCGTGGATTGATCTAAGTTAACACTAACACCGTTGGATGCCGAATGGATCAGCAGTCGATAGGGTTAGGCACTCGTGCGCAAGATCGAAGGACTTGTGTTCGATTACTGCCTATGGGAGTCACGGATGCGCACTACTGATAACTCACATACTAGAACGAAAAGTCCGTTCAATGCCACCAGGTTTTCAGTGGTGAATACAATTGTAAGACTAAACTGGAGTGTACTGTATACTTGGCTATGTTACCACATTTCATGTCTTACAGTTGAACTTAAGTAGCTTGAGCTATTTTCTTTCATCTGGGAAAAATGATACGCCATATCAATCAGACATTAAGTGAAAAAGATAGGCCAACACTGTTAGCTTCAATTCTTAACCAATGAGACTTACGAATTGCTTGAAAATGTGACTTTTTCCAAGAGAGAATTACATATTTATGGAGTGAGTGTATATATGTATATATATCCTTACTCAGACATCTGGTGTGATTTCATATGTAGGAATTTATAGCTGAATATTAAACTTGGGCAGTCACACAATACATAACAGTAAACTGTTGACAACACGAGTTCGTCATTTTCTTGGTAAATTCTTTTAGTCACTGGTTAACTGAATCTGTGATTTTTAGTGATAACATTCACGAGATGAAATTGACCTCATTTCCTTTGACCTTGACGGTTTCAAGTTAGGACTTGTGGTGTGACACAGCTGGATACTTTCCTTAATAAGTGTCCTATCCGCTTACAGAGAGTTTTCTTTATTTCTTTGTCTGCTGGAATCTGGTTTTGTTCTTTCCCATAGTAGGTTGCTACTGATGATATCTGACCAACGAATCCTCAATAACTTGGATAGACAACATTTAATAAACACTTATATGTTTCGGATGTTGGAGTTCACCTAAGTCGATAAACGAGTGAGAAGACAAATGTTCCAGTGACAAAGATAGGCTATTCTGATTCGATTGTCCACAACACTGCTAACGATATCAAAACGTCTGGATATGGCTTAGAAAGTGTATTCTACAAGCATCCAGAAAATACGAGGTTAACAAACACACAAATCAAGTTTATTTATACAACATCATAGAAACGTCCTTGGTGAGAGCCACAAAAATCACATGCTAAAATAATCCATCAACCAATGACAGTCAAGAATTTTCCAAGTTTGAAATGTAATCTCAAGGTCAACTGATCAGCCCATGCGCGAAAACTTAAAAAAATCCAAAATTTGGACCTTAATCAAGTGAATTCCGAGGATCTAACCTCCAAACACAGATATACACAGATCAGATTTTAGTCTACAAGTTAATATCTACAGACAATTTCCATTTGAAGTAATTTCTATCTATTTAATGAGACTTCATTTTCCATTCTTAATACTGAATCTGATATAATATTATCCCATCCTCTTTTTTGATCTATTCATCTAGGGGCATTTACACATTCAATTTTTCGAATGAATCTAACTGATTTCCAATATGATTTTATTGCGTCAATTTAAAGCATTCGGTGAAAATGATCGCTTTGAAGATGGCGGTATTTTTAAATTATCCTATTTGAACAAATCACAGTGAATCAAAGCTTATCAATTAACAATAATAATATTACGTCCGTCACAATGGTTCAATATCATATAACATTATTAAAATTCATTGAATTAATGATACTTTAACATTTTTCACTAGTATGATAAGTCATAATGTTATTGGAATAGTGTACAACCTACAAATGTGTTCACTGTTCTATTGATTAACAGAAATCTGTTCAAGTGCTACACTTCCCACTAGTAGTAGTAAGACACCAATGATAATCACTAGAAAATATTTAGCAGTGATTATTATTGAAGTTTTAGTGATTTTAATTGCTTTTACCATTAGCATATGTTTATTTCTTGTTTATATGTCCACCAACTTGTATTGAACAAAAAATCTTCATTGAATTATTTAAAATATTTTGAAATTACACAAGTTTTACATGATAAAAGTGTCTATTTGATGTGAATCATGCGATGAACATAGTATTAATTATATTTCGAACGAATAAAGTATCAAGGACGTAGCGTTGAATGGATGTTAGCACATGAAGAGAATATTTCAGTGAATTCATTCGGATTTTTATATACAATGTAGTGTATTTATCTCATATCTTAGTTTTGATGAAAATCAATTGTAGCAATGAAATGGAAGAAATATTTGGGTTATTATATATAGTTATTGTTATATTATTATTAGGTTAGTAGTATAAAAAGCGTTTTAATTAAACAACATACCTAGAAATTTGTTAAGTCTTTTTGAAAGACAGAAGTAAAATGGTGGTGATGGAAATCTCCTTTCTCGAAAATAAAATTCTCCAAAACTCCCTATTCGTTTTCATAGGTAACCTTGAAGTGGTAGTCTATAGTAAAATATCGGAGTTTGACAAAAATACCAATGATAGTCATACTAATTCAAGTGGAATATAATGAAAATGAAAGAGTATTGCCTAATATGTTCAAGATTTTCATGTTACGGAACAATCGAGATCCCGTCAGTAAATTCCACTAACACTGTCACTATCTTCCCTACTATTAGATTTGGCTTGACAACTTCATCGCTCAATACTAATAGAACAAGTTAACTTTAATTGATATACGGAGGTTCCAAGTTATAGATTACCTTGAACTGACTGGATTACAGTAAATTCAGTAACAAGATTCCTATTTTTATTAAGTTGTATACTTGTCGTTATATTTATCTGCGAATCAAATAGATAGCATTATTCTCCTTAAATTCAAAGAATATTCCAGAAAATGAAAGACACATTAGGTAGATTAGGTGTTGTTGAGGAGGTTAGATCCCCAGAACTCACTTGATAAAGGTCCTAAACTTGGATTTTGTGTTTTCGTGCATGGGCTGATCAGTTGACCTTGATATTACGTTTCCCACTCTCTCTCTCTCATTGGTCGATGTAGTATTTTGGTAAGCTATTTTTTGTGGCTCTCCCTAGGACGTTTCTATGGTGTATAAATAAACGCGATTTATGTGCTTGAATTCATTGTGCTTGCTGGGTTCTTGTAGAATACACTTTCTACGCCATATCAAGACTTATTCTTCAGTTAGTTGGGTCAACGGATAAGAGCAGCCTTTTTTGCCACTGGTTCATTGCCTCGTTCTCGTTTACCGACTAAGGTGAACTTGTACTAGTAGTTTCAAGCATATCAATCTGACAAGCAGAGTTCCATACCAGGACGAAACGGAAATCCAGTAGTTCTACGTTTCTAATGGTGGTCTAACAAACGAATGATTTACGATTTCTACGTGTAAAAACAATGATCTCCATAATTCTAATTGGAAAAATCATACTATGTGCTCACTAGTGATTAGATTCATGAGGAAGTTTTCGGAGTTCTAGTAAGAAAACTTTTGGGGAAGTTAGATCCTCAGAAATAACTTCATAAACGTCCTAATTTTGAATTTTATTCATGGGCTGATCAGTTGACTTTGAGATCACATATCCTACTCGGAAAATCCTTGACTGTCATTGGTTGTTGGATTATTTTAGAACGTTAGTTTTGTGACTCTTCTAAGGACGTTTCTATGATGTATAAATAAACTCGGTTTGTGTGTTTGCTGACCTCATATTTTCTTGGTGCTTGTAGAATACAATTTCTACTCCATATCACGACTTCTTTCTCCACCTAACAGGGCCTTGTGACTCTAGGATTAGAGTAGCCTATCGTGTTACTGGATCATTTGTCTTCACTCTCACATTTACCAACTAAGGCGAACTCGTACTAGTAGCATCCAAGCATATCAGTTGACGAGCATAGTGACCAGTGGAGTTCAACCCTTTTGGGTGTTGGCAGTAACCACTGTAGGCGAACGGGTGAAGTCACACAAAATCCCTAGATTTATCTGATTTAGACATAAACATCGTTGGATTCCGGCCCGTTGGTTCAAAAGTTCTGCGTTCGCGCGCATGATCCAATGTGTTGGGTTCGATTCCCGACAGTGTAGGTCTTGAATTCGCTATGCTGATGAGTATGAGTCCTATACTAGACTGAAACGACCCGTCCACTGCTTGTACGCTTTTAATAATGTCCTAACAATGATTGTTCCATGAAATGAAAGAGAACACAGGTGGGGCAACCGGATTACCACTTCGGTCATTGTTCTTGCCTGCTGGTCTGGAATGGATACGGCATCTATCCAACGTGTAGCGTTTACTAGTTCCCGCTGCTGAGACACGGCGGCAGGCACACTTTCGATAAATTGCGACGCCAACAACTGTGCCCCCAGACTCCCCATCCATACTCGGCAGAGCACGGCGCAGCAACATCGTGAGCTCCACAGCCAGCACCAACGGGTCACCATCAGCCGACGGCCTCGCCAACCGGAACCTCCTCCCTGTCCACCGGGCTGTCCAACTCCATCATCAGCCGCCCGGCGACCGTGTCCCACGCCGTCTTCCCAGCGGCACCGTCCAGGCTGTCGTATACCGCCTTCGCCTCACCTCCCCGCAGCGTCCCCAGCACCGCCAACTCCGCCGCGGGCCCCTTCACATCCACCAGTTCCACTGTGGCCTCAAACTCCTCCAGGAAGCTCCACTGCTTGTACATTTCTAATAGTGTTCTTACAATGACCGATCCATGAATTCAGTAATCTATTCATAGTATTTTAATACTTTTATTTTTTTTACCTCGTTTTTTGTTCCTTTACAGGATCCTCAATACAAAAAAAAACAATCTTTATCATCAAATCAATCATTCACCAATTCCACTCAGTCTTCAGCATTAACTAACCAGCATGAAATACACCAAACATTAGATCAAAATCATATCAATTCATTCTTAATGCACTACTATTTATCGTCATCATCAACACAATTTCGTAATCAATTAAGAATGTATCTTATTTTAAAAATTATCATTTATAGTTTAGTCTGTGTGAATATTTGCCTTTGTGTCATATGTTTATATACAATGGATGCAAGTTTTGGTTATGTTGAACCGAAATTCACAGACAATTCAACAAGTTCAACAACACAAAAATCATTTCGAAATATATTAATGAATGAGGTACTAGATAAATTACCTGTTTATTTACAAGAAATTGTTAGTCAAGGTCAATTATACACGAATCAAACATTTGAACGAGTTGAACAAAAAATTGATGTAAGTTTATGTGATTATTTTTGAGTTCGAATAGACTATGTGTTGATCAATTCGGCTCTCGTTTAAATTTGTACAAAAATCAATTGAAGTCCATGTTGATTATAAAAAGTGTGAATTAAATGACTGAATATTAAAGGTGTTATGCTTGTCACTAGTTGATATGCTTGAATGCTACTAGTACGAGATTAACTTAGTCAGTAAATGACAGCGAAGACAAATGATCCAATAACGCGATAGGCTACTCTAATCCGAGCATCCAAAAGCTGCACTAAGTAGAGGAAGAAGTCTTGATATGGTGGAGAAAGTGTATTCTACAAGCGCCCAGAAAATACAAGGTTTACAAGCTCACAAATCGAGTTTATTTATACGTCATGGAAACGTCTTTGAGAGGGACACGTAAATGGTGTACTAAGATACTACATCAACCAATGACATTCAAGGATTTTCGTGGTGTGAAATATAACTTCAAGGTCAACTGATCAGCCCATACGCGAAAACACAAAATCCAATTTTAGGACCATTATCAAGTGAGATTTGAGGATCTAATGTCCCCAACATAAGGAAAACGAATTTGACACAAATTCCATACCCTTCACTTATAAAGAAATAAGTATAGATTAGGAGTGAGCTGAAATGATATGACATCGCTGATATGAACGCTTGCCGAGAACAATGGAAATGAATTCGTTTGGAAAAGCAACAAAATCTTGTGCAGAGAAAACAAGCAGCCCTGGAAAGGCTTAGAAACAGGACATTCAGTTGAAATACCAGCCAACAGACACATAGAGTTCCATCAATTCTATGAACCGATATGGCAAAGGTCACCCAGTCTTAACGTCAGCCGAAACAAATGATGATCATAAATACTCATAGAGACAATCACAATCAGTGGCTTCTATCTGAAGTTTGTGCTGATGATGTTCTTTAGCAGAAGATCAATGAAAGCTGCATAACTAGAACATTCAGCTCACAGAACAAAACTTCATCACAATCATCCACCTGAGATAGAAAAGTTTTCGCACCATCTCACAGTCAATCTGTCAGGGACGTTAGATCCACAGAACTCACTTGAAAAAGGTCCTAATTTTGGATTTTTATTTTCGTGCATAGGCTGATCAGTTGACCTTGAGATTAAGTTTCCCACCAGGAAAATCCTTGACTGTTATGGACGAATATTGATGGAATAAAAATGTAGAATCCCGTTTTACTGTAGTATCACTGATCTGACAGAGTGAACCACGAAAAAATTACATCTTTGAAAGATATCCAAAATGTATGCTTTCGGTTTTATTGATAGCTTGTAGTGTATAGCTCTTACTTCAAAACTGAAAGAATTCTGTTACACATGAGAGAATAAAACTGATAACATTTTAAAGCACAGATAAACACCACTAAGAACTTTTCAAACTACTATGTGATATAATGAACCAATCAAAAGTGGCCAAACGAGAAGGTTATCCGATGAATATCATAAATGCTCTAAAGGACGAATACATATCATTGGTAAATAAATCTACTCACTTTCTATGGGAGGAGGAACGTATTTATGACTAAATGATTATTTATGTATACGATTCAGTAGCCAAATAGGCTTTCTCTTCCACTTCTGACTTATAGCTCAGGTAGTCAGTATGGGGAGGGGTTAGCATGTATAGTGGTCAGATCTGGGATACCGCACATCATAACAAAGTACATGTGACAATGTTGGGAATGTCAGATCTCGCTTGATAAATATCTTTAATTTTGATTTATTTCATGGACCGATCAGCTGACCTTGAAATCACATTCCCCATCAGGAAAATACTTCGCTGTGATTGGTTACTGCGTCATTCTAGTGGGCTATTTTTGTGAATGTCCCAAGGACGTCTCTATGGCGAGTATAAATAAACGCAATTTGAGTGCTTGGATTCATTATGTGCTGGCTGGGTGTTTGTAGAATACAGTTTCTACGCTATATCAAGACTTCTTGCTGGTATAGTTTAGTCAAGGGATCACAGTAGCCGACCTGGATGCTGGTTCATTGTTTTGTTCTCGTTATTCAACTGAGGTGAACTCGTAATAGTTTCAAACATACCTAGAGACGAGCATAACAGACAGCAACCATCTAACATCTAAATATATCATGAGACATGAAAAAGCGCACCTTTAGCGATTAATCTAAGGTCTTGACGAGAAATAGTACACAAAATCGATAACCATTTATAGTATCATGTAAATTAGGTCAGTTGTCATGCATACATAATCATCGTTTACTTAGATGTGAAATACTAGTCACTCCCGGAGTAGGTTAGCATAGAATAGGTTAAAAGCACTCCCCAAATCTGTTAGGATATTCATCCAATATCCTAAGAGAATTATTGGTCAATTCATATTGGTTAATTCCTACTGGTCAAATTCATGGTCGTCCTAGATATCAATGTCACGTGCTCCAATGTTGTTTCTTATTGGTGTCCTGATTATTATTGTCACTTCAAATGTTGCTTCATATTGGTCGCCTTAACTTTCAATGTCACAGAATTCGATGCTGTTTCCTATTCGACAAAAATGTATAAATACGCATTATCTGTAACGTTTTATGACCACGACCAGGACAGGGACCCAGTCCCGGATCCCTAGTCCGGGATCCTGATTCTCTTCTGGATTCGGACCTCGTACTTCTGGATGCTTGTAGAATACACATTCCACTTCATATCAAGTCTTGTCTTCTTATTTTCACTCAATATGGGAGTTGGGATAATCGGATGTGAGTAGCATATTGTGCCACCGGATCCTCGCTCTCGTTTCCGACTAGGTTAACTCGTAATAGTTCAAGCATAGCAAGTTGACGTGTTTACGTGCAGGCGTAACAAAATCAAAGTGTAATATCGGAATCCAAAGTTACCGACTTTTAGAATAAGTCAAGTCAGTCGGTACAAAATAACATGTTGAGATTCAAGTATATATTTATTGTCTATGTCTGTCGTAGCGCTGTAAATTATACTCCTTGCTTATTCCTAAGCAACTAACATGTGAAATTAGATGATTGGATTCCCAATTCAGTAGAAGTTCGATTCAATTTAGAATGATTTAGAATGTAATCATATTTAGCTGACGAATCTAAAACAGGACGAAACATGAATCCACTACCACCAGTCACATTGTAGTGAAGGAGAACACAGGTGTGGCAACCGAATTGTATTTGACGAAAATTACAGAGTTACTCAGTAAAATAGGAACACCATATCGTAAATCGTTAATTTGCAAAATATCAGTTCATCATATCAAACTGGACTGTTCCTGTTGCAAACCATCAATCCATTCTCACTATTCATGCGTTTCATAAAATTCCATTGTGTTCCCACTCTTCTTACTTTCTTGATCTTCCCTCATCTTCTGCTATTACGTTGACACTCACGTCATATACTACTTATAAGTAGCTCACACCACAATATTTCATCTTTTCACTAAAAAATTGTCCAAGTTTTATAGCATAAACAACATAAATGGGTTATTTCATTATTATAATAATAATAATAATAATAATAATAATAATAATCATACAAATTCACTTTCCCACTTAGATTCAATTATCAATAACTGCTGAACAAATTATCCAATCATTACTCTCATCATATCAATTATCATCTGTAATCCAATTGGCTGAATCCATTACACAAAGTCTTAATGAAACAACATTAGCTAGTCAAATAATTAATTCACAAGAAAAAATATTACAACAAACTATGAATAATTATATTGGTGAATTACGTGGTTATGCTAATCTATTAAATAGAACATTCAATTCAATATGTGGAAAATTTAAAGAAAATACTACTGAACTACTGAAATGTAGACAATTACAAGTAAGTTCCATTTGTTAGTAGTATTATACAACTTACTTGTAATTGTCTACATTTCAGTAGTTCAGTAGTATTTTCTTTAAATTTTCCACATATTGTATTGAATGTTCTATTTAATAGATTAGCATAACCACGTAATTCACCAATATAATTATTTATAGTTTGTTGTAATATTTTTTCTTGTGAATTAATTATTTGACTAGCTAATGTTGTTTCATTAAGACTTTGTGTAATGGATTCAGCCAATTGAATTACAGATGATAACTGATATGATGAGAGTAATGATTGGATAATTTGTTCAGCAGTTATTGATAATTGAATCTAAGTGGGAAAGTGAATTTGTATGATTATTATTATTATTATTATTATTATTATTATTATTATAATGAAATAACCCATTATGTTGTTTATGCTATAAAACTTGGACAATTTTTTAGTGAAAAGATGAAATATTGTGGTGTGAGCTACTTATAAGTAGTATATGACGTGAGTGTCAACGTAATGTCTGGCAGCAGAAGATGAGGGAAGATCAAGAAAGTAAGAAGAGTGGGAACACAATGGAATTTTTATGAAACGCATGAATAGTGAGAATGGATTGATGGTTTGCAACAGGAACAGTCCAGTTTGATATGATGAACTGATATTTTGCAAATTAACGATTTACGATATGGTGTTCCTATTTTACTGAGTAACTCTGTAATTTTCGTCAAATACAATTCGGTTGCCACACCTGTGTTCTCCTTCACTACAATGTGACTGGTGGTAGTGGATTCATGTTTCGTCCTGTTTTAGATTCGTCAGCTAAATATGATTACATTCCAAATCATTCTAAATTGAATCGAACTTCTACTGAATTGGGAATCCAATCATCTAATTTCACATGTTAGTTGCTTAGGAATAAGCAAGGAGTATAATTTACAGCGCTACGACAGACATAGACAATAAATATATACTTGAATCTCAACATGTTATTTTGTACCGACTGACTTGACTTATTCTAAAAGTCGGTAACTTTGGCCTCCGATATTCCACTTTGATTTTGTTACGCCTGCACGTAAACACGTCAACTTGCTATGCTTGAACTATTACGAGTTAACCTAGTCGGAAACGAGAGCGAGGATCCGGTGGCACAATATGCTACTCACATCCGATTATCCCAACTCCCATATTGAGTGAAAATAAGAAGACAAGACTTGATATGAAGTGGAATGTGTATTCTACAAGCATCCAGAAGTTACGAGGTCCGAGTCCTGAAGAGGATAAGTATCCCGGACTAGGGATCCGGGACTGGGTCCCTGTCATAAAACGTTACAGGTAATGCGTATTTATACATTTTGGTCGAATAGGAAACAGCATCGAATTCTGTGATATTGACAGTTAAGACAACCAATATGAAGCAACATTTGAAGTGACAATAATAATCAGGACACCAATAAGAAACAACATTGGAGCACGTGACATTGATATCTAGGACGACCATGAAATTGACCAGTAGGAATTAACCAATATGAATTGACCAATAATTCTCTTAGGATATTGGATGAATATCCTAACAGATTTGGGGGGTGCTTCTAACTTTTTCTATGCTAACCTATTCCTGGAGTGACTAGTATTTCACATCGAAGTAAGCGATGATTATGTATGCAAGACAGTTGACCTAATTTACATGATACTATAAATGGTTATCGATTCCGTGTACTATTTCTAGTCAAGACCTTAGATTAATCGCTAAAGGTGCGCTTTTTCATGTCTCATGATATATTAGATGTTAGATGGTTGCTGTCTGTTATGCTCGTCTCTAGGTATGTTTGAAACTATTACGAGTTCACCTCAGTTGAATAACGAGAACAAAACAATAAACCAATCTCCAAGTAAACTACTGTGATCCCTTGACTAAAATATACCAGCAAGAAGTCTCGATATATCGTAGAAAGTGTATTCTACAAAACACCCAGCCAGCACATAATGAATCCAAGCACTCAAATTGCGTTTATTTATACTCGCCATAGAGACGTCCTTGGGACATTCACAAAAATAGCCCACTAGAATGACGCAGTAACCAATCACAGCGAAGTATTTTTCCTGATGGGGAATGTGATTTCAAGGTCAGCTGATCGGTCCATGAAATAAATCAAAATTAAAGATATTTATCAAGCGAGATCTGACATTCCCAACATTGTCACATGTACTTTGTTATGATGTGCGGTATCCCAGATCTGACCACTATACATGCTAACCCCTCCCCATACTGACTACCTGAGCTATAAGTCAGAAGTGGAAGAGAAAGCCTATTTACCGACTGAATCGTATAGATAAATACTCATTTTTGTATAGACACATTCCTTCCCCCTTAGAGAATGAACTGATTTTTCTACCAGTGATATGAATTCGTCGTTTCGAGCATTTATGATAGTCATCGGATAACCTTCTCGTTTGGTCACTTTTGATTGGCTCATTATATCACATAATAGTTTGAAAAGTTCTTAGTAATCTTTATTTATGCTTTAAAATGTTATGAATTTTATTCTCTCATGTGTAACAGAATTCTTTCAGTTTTGAAGTAAGAGTTATACACTACAAGCTATCAATAAAACCGAAAGCATACATTTTGGATATCTTTCAAAGATGTAATTTTTTCGTGGTTCACTCTGTCAGATCAATGATACTTCAATAAAAATTGGATTCTATATTTTTATTCCATCAATATTCGTCCATAACAGTCAATGATTTTCCTGGTGGGAAACTTAATCTCAAGGTCAACTGATCAGCCTATGCACGAAAACATAAAAATATCCTTTATCAAGTGAGTTCTGTGGATCTAACGTCCCTGAAAGATGGACTGTGAGGTGGTGTAGAAAACTTTTCTATCTCAGGTGGATGATTGTGATGAAGTTTTGTTCTGTGAGCTGAATGTTCTAGTTATGCAGCTTTCATTGATCTTCTGCTAAAGAACATCATCAGCACAAACTTCAGATAGAAGCCACTGATTGTGATTGTCTCTATGAGTATTTATGATCATCATTTGTTTCGGCTGACGTTAAGACTGGGTGACCTTTGCCATATCGGTTCATAGAATTGATGGAACTCTATGTGTCTGTTGGCTGGTATTTCAACTGAATGTCCTGTTTCTAAGCCTTTCCAGGGCTGCTTGTTTTCTCTGCACAAGATTTTGTTGCTTTTCCAAACGAATTCAGATTCATTGTTCTCGGCAAGCGTTCATATCAGCGATGTCATATCATTTCAGCTCACTCCTAATCTATACTTATTTCTTTATAAGTGAAGGGTATGGAATTTGTGTCAAATTCGTTTTCCTTATGTTGGGGACATTAGATCCTCAAATCTCACTTGATAATGGTCCTAAAATTGGATTTGTGTTTTCGCGTATGGGCTGATCAGTTGACCTTGAAGTTATATTCACACCACGAAAAATCCTTGAATGTCATTGGTTGATGTAGTATCTTTAGTACACCATTACGTTGTCCCTCTCAAAGACGTTTCCATGACGTATAAATAATGTAAACCTTGTATTTTCTGGGCGCTTGTAGAATACACTTTCTCCACCATATCAAGACTTCTTCCTCTACTTAGTGCAGCTTTTGGATGCTCGGATTAGAGTAGCCTATCGCGTTATTGGATCATTTGTCTTCGCTGTCATTTACTGACTAAGTTAATCTCGTACTAGTAGTATTCAAGCATATCAACTAGTGACGAGCATAACACCTTTACTATTCAGTCAGTCATTTAATTCACACTTTTCGTAATCAACATTGACTTCAATTGATTTTTGTACAATTTTAGACGAGAGCCGAATTGATCAACACATAGTCTATTCGAACTCAAAAATAATCACACAAAACTTACATCAAGTTTTTTGTTCAAACTCGTTCAAAATGTTTGACTTCGTGTCTACTTGACCTTGACTAACAATTTCTTGTAAATAAACAGGTAATTTATCTAGTACCTCATTCATTAATACATTTCGAAATGATTTTTGTATTGTTGAACTTGTCGAACTATCTGTGAATTTCGGTTCAACATAACCAAAACTTGCATCCATTGTATATAAACATATGACACATAAGCATATATTCAAACATATTAAACTATAAATGATAATTTTTAAAATAAGATATATTCTTAATTGATTACGAAATTGTGTTGATGATGACGATAAATAGTAGTGCATTAAGAATGAATTGATATGATTTTGATCTAATGGTTGGTGTATTTCATGCTGGTTAGTTAATGCTGAAGACTGAGTGGAATTGGTGAATGATTGATTTGATGATAAAGATTGTTTTTTTTTGTATTGAGGATCCTGTAAAGGAACAAAAAACGAGGTAAAAAAAATAAAAGTATTAAAATACTATGAATGGATTACTGAATTCATGGAACAATCATTGTTAGAACACTATTAGAAATGTACAAGCAGTGGAGCTTCCTGGAGGAGTTTGAGGCCACAGTGGAGCTGGTGGGTGTGAAGGGGCCCTCGGCGGAGTTGGCGGTGCTGGGGCCGCTGCGGGGAGGTGAGGCGAAGGCGGTATACGACAGCCTGGACGGTGCCGCCGGGAAAACGGCGTGGGAGACTGTCGCCGGGCGGCTGATGACGGAGTTCGACAGCCCGGTGGACAGGGAGGAGGCACCGCAGAGGTTCCGGTTGGCGAGGCTGTCGGCTGATGGTGACCCGTTGGTGCTGCCTGTGGAGCTCACGATGTTGCTGCGCCGTACCCTGCTGAATACCGATGAGGAGTCGGAGGCACAGTTGTTGGCGTCGCAATTTATTGAGAGTGTGCCTGCCGCCGTGTCCCAGCAGCGGGAACTAGTAAACGCTACACGTCGGATAGATGCCGTACCTATTCCAGACCAGCAGTCAAGAACAATGACCAAAGTGGTAATTCGGTTGCCCCACCTGTGTTCTCCTTCATTTCATGGAACAATCATTGTTAGAACATTACTGAAAGCGTACAAGCAGTGGACGGATCGGTCCAGTCTGGCATAGGACTCACATCGTGGTTACGTGGAACCTTTGAACCACTGGGCCGGCATCCAACGATGTTAATGTCTAATTTAGATAGATAATCTAGGGATTTAGCGCGACTCCACCCGTTTGCCTTCAGTGGTTACTGCCTACACTCAACAGGGTTGAACTGTACTGGTCACGTTTTTGATATGTTCGTCAACTGATTGATATGCTTGAATGCTATTACGAGTTCGCCTTAGTTGGTAAATATGAGAGTGAAGACAAATGATCCAGTAACACGATAGGCTACTCTAATCCTAGAGTAACAAGGCCCCGTTAGGTGGAGAAAGAAGTCCTGATATAGAGTAGAAATTGTATTCTACAAGCACCAAGAAAATATGAGGTCAGCAAACACACAAACCGAGTTTATTTATACATCATAGAAACGTCCTAAGAAGAGCCACAAAACTAACGTTCTAAAATAATCCAACAACCGATGACAAGCAAGTATTTCCCGAGTGGGATATGTAATCTCAAAGTCAACTGATCAGCCCATGAATAAAATTCAAAATTAGGACGTTTATGAAGTTATTCTGAGGATCTAACTTCCCCAAAAGTTTCTTACTAGAACTCCGAAACTTCCTCATGAATCTAATCACTAGTGAGCACATAGTATGATTTTTCCTATTAGAATTATGGAGATCATTGTTTTTACACGTAGAAATCGTAAATCATTCGTTTGTTAGACCACCATTAGAAACGTAGAACTACTGGATTCCCGTTTCGTCCTGGTATGGAACTCTGCTTGTCAGATTGATATGCTTGAAACTACTAGTATGAGTTCACCCTTAGTCGATAAACAAGAACGAGAGAATGAACCAGTGACACGATTGGCTACTCTTATCCGCTGCTCCAACTAACTGAAGAACAAGTCTTGATATGGCGCAGAAAGCGTATTCTACAAGCACCCAGCAAGCACAATGAATTCAAGCACATAAATCGCGTTTATTTATACACCATAGAAACGTCCTAGGGAGAGCCACAAAAAATAGCTTACCAAAATACTACATCGACCAATGAGAGAGAGAGTGGGAAACGTAATATCAAGGTCAACTGATCAGCCCATGCACGAAAACACAAAATCCAAGTTTAGGACCTTTATCAAGTGAGTTCTGGGGATCTAACCTCCTCAACAACACCTAATCTACCTAATGTGTCTTTCATTTTCTGGAATATTCTTTGAATTTAAGGAGAATATTGCTATCTATTTGATTCGCAGATAAATATAACGACAAGTATACAACTTAATAAAAATAGGAATCTTGTTACTGAATTTACTGTAATCCAGTCAGTTCAAGGTAATCTATAACTTGGAACCTCCGTATATCAATTAAAGTTAACTTGTTCTATTAGTATTGAGAGATGAAGTTGTCAAGCCAAATCTAATAGTAGGGAAGATAGTGACAGTGTTAGTGGAATTTACTGCCGGGATCTCGATTGTTCCGTAACATGAAAATCTTGAACATATTAGGCAATACTCTTTCATTTTCATTATATTCCACTTGAATTAGTATGACTATCATTGGTATTTTTGTCAAACTCCGATATTTTACTATAGACTACCACTTCAAGGTTACCTATGAAAACGAATAGGGAGTTTTGGAGAATTTTATTTTCGAAAAGGAGATTTCCATCACCGCTTTTACTTCTGTCTTTCAAAAAGCTTAACAAATTTCTGGTATGTTTTTTATTAAACGTTTTATACTACTAACTAATAATAAGTAACATAACATATATAATAACAAAATATTTTCTTCCATTTCATTGTACAATTGATTTTCATCAAAACTAAGATATGAATAATACCTACATTGATATAAATATCCGATGAATTCACTGAAATATTCTCTTCATTTGCTAACATCCATTCAACGCTACGTCTTGATACTTTATTCGTTCGAATATATTCATCCGATAAGCTATCTGACATAATACTATGTTCATCGGAATGATTCACATCAACTAGACACTTTTTATCATGTAAAACTTGTGTAATTTCAAAATATTTTAAATAATTCAATGAAGATTTTTGTTCAATACAAGTTGGTGGACATATAAACAAGAAATAACATATGCTAATGGTAAAAGCAATTAAAATCACTAAAACTTCAATAATAATCACTGCTAAATATTTTCTAGTGATTATCATTGGTGTATTACTACTACTAGTGGGAAGTGTAGCATTGAACAGATTTCTGTTCATCAATAGAACATTGAACACATTTGTAGGTTGTACACTATCCAATAACATATGACTTATCATACTAGTGAAAAATGTTAAAGTATCATTAAATTCAATGAATTTTAATAATGTTATTGGATATTGAACATTGACGGACGTATTATTATTATTATTGTTTATTGATAAGCTTTGATTCACTGTGATTTGTTCAAATAAATAATTTAAAATACCGCCATCTTCAAATGGTGCGATCATTTCACCGAATGCTTTAAATTGACGCAATAAATCATATTGGAAATCAGTTAGATTCATTCGAAAATTGAATTTAATGCCCTAGATGAATAGACAAAAAAAGAGATGGGATAATATTATATCAGATTCAGTATTAAAGAATGGAAAATGAAGTCATTAAATAGATAGAAATTACTTCAAATGGAAATGTCTGTAGATATTAACTTGTAGATAAAATCTGATCTGTGTATATCTGTGTTTGGAGGTTAGATCCTCGGAATTCACTTGATTAAGGTCCAAATTTTGGATTTTTTTAAGTTTTCGCGCATGGGCTGATCAGTTGACCTTGAGATTACATTTCAAACTTGGAAAATTCTTGACTGTCATTGGTTGATGGATTATTTTAGCATGTGATTTTTGTGGCTCTCCGAAGGACGATTCTATGATGTATAAATAAACTCCATTTGTGTGCTTGTCAGCCTCATATTTTCTGGATTCTTGTAGAATACACTTTCTATGCCATATAAAGACTTTTTGATATCGTTAGCGGGGTTGTGGACAATCGAATCAGAATAGCCTATCGTTGTCACTGGAACATTTGTCTTCTCACTCGTTTATCGACTTAGGTGAACTCCAACATCCTAAACATATAAGTGTTTATTAACAGTTGTCTATCCAAGTTACTGAGGATCCGTTGATCAGATATCATCCTACTGTCAGAGAAATTAAACCAGATTCCATCAGGCGAAGAAACAAAGAAAATTCTCCGTAAGGGGATAGGACATCTATTGAGGAAAGAATAAAACTGTGTCACACGACAAGATCTAACTTGGTACCCTCAAGGTCAAAGGAAATGAGGTCAATTTCATCTCGTGAATGTTATCACTAAAAATCACAGATTCAGTTAACCAGTGACTAAAAGAATTTACCAAGAAAATGACGAACTCATGTTGTCAGCAGTTTACTGTTATACATTGTGTGATGGTCCAAGTTTGATATTCAACTATAAACTTCCTATATATGCGATCAGACCAGATGTTTGTGAAAGAATATATAAATACACTCACTCCATAAATATGTAGTTCTCTCTTGGAAAAAAGTCACATTTTCAAGCAGTTCGTAAGTCTCATTCATTAGGAATTGAAGCTAACAGTGTTTGCCTATGTTTTTGACTTAATGTCTGATTGATTTGACGTTTCATTTGTCCCAGATGAAAGAAAATAGTTCAAGCTACTTAAGTTCAACTGTAAGACATGAAATGTGGTAACATAGCCAAGTATACAGTACACTCCAGTTTAGTCTTACAATTGTATTCACCACTGAAAACCTGGTGGCATTGAACGGACTTTTCGTTCTAGTATGTGAGTTATCAGTAGTGCGCATCCACGACTCCCATAGGCAGGAATCGAACACAAGTCCTTCGATCTTGCGCACGAGTGCCTAACCCTATCGACTGCTGATCCATTCGGCATCCAACGGTGTTAGTGTTAACTTAGATCAATCCACGGTCTTGCTCAACATAATTGTTAGGATATTCATCCAACATCCTAAGAAAATTATTGGTCAAGTCCTATTGGTCTATTTCTATTGGTCAAAATTATGGTCGTTTTAACTGTCAAAGTCAAATACTTCAATGTTGTCTCTTATTGATCATCCGGACTGTCAATGTCATTTCAAATGTACTTCCTATTGGTCGTCTTAACTGTCAGTGTCACAGACTTCGATGCTGTTTCCTATTCGACCAAAATGTATAAATACGCATTATTTGTGACATTTTATGACCAGGACCAGGACCCGGTCCCGGATCCCTAGTCCGGGATACTGATTCTCTTCTGGATTCGGACCTCGTACTTTCCGGATGTTTGTAGAATACATGTTCGACTTCATATCACGTCGTGTTATTTTCACTAAATATGGGAGTTGGGATAATCGGATTTAAGTAGCATGTCGTGTCGCCGGATCCTCGATCCTACCCAGCTCTCGTTTTCCGACTAGGTTAACTCGTAATAGTTCAAGTATATCAAGTGGACGTGTTTACGTGTAGGCATAACACTAATCAACGATCTTATATGAGCACTGCTTCATACCTGAACAAGCTTTAACCCCACTAGTTACAACTTCTCACTAGAACATTGAGAATTTCCTCATGAAGCTCTAGTAAATGGTGAGCATGTTATTTATGATTTTCATGAATTGTTGTTAGACCGCCACTGGAAAACGTTGAACAATGATTGATTGATTGATTCATGACTTCAACGAAAATGCAAACAATCTCAAATAAATCATATTTTACAGATAAACTTACCACAGTCTATAACTGAGGCATTGTCAGCTTAGTAAATTTTAAAGTGTAATATTAGAATTTCGTCGATCATAGCCAAGTTTGATTTGTTGAAAATACTGTACAAACGAAAAAAATTTGAAATACATGAACAATAAAAAATTCTATAAATTTTATTGAAATCATGAATCAATCAATGTTAGACTGTCAATGAACCTTGAAAGCACTGGATGACCATTTCATTCTAGTGTGGGCCACTTCAACAGTGTATCCACAACCCTGCCAGTGTGGGGTCGAACCCAAGAACATTGGTCTCGCACGCAAATGCTTAACTGCTTGATCACCAAGCCAGAATACATTAGAGTTATAAAGGTATAGGCTAAATTCGCTCTGTTGGAACCACTCTTGCGCTAGCGACTTTTATCAAACACGTGATTAACATTATCAATATCCATATTTCTGCCGTTGATATTTAGTTATATCCTTTAGAAATTATTTCAGTAATCGTCTGTCTGCATCATTCTCAGACAATCCTATTCAAGATGATATATAAAGTTTTACAATTAAGTCATTTTGACTCAGATTACACAATACTGCTGTTCGGGACGTTAGACAGTCAGAACTCATTTGGAAAACGTCCTAATTTCGAATTTTTTGTGTTTTCACGCATAAGCTGCTCGAATGACCTCGAGATTACATTTCCCACTCGGAAAATCCTTGATTGTCATTGGTTGGTAGATTATTTTGGCATGTGATTTTTTGTGGCTCTCCCAAGGACGCTTATATTGTGGTGCGATCTACTTATAAGTAGTATATGATGTGAGTGTCAACGTAATGTCTGGCAACAGAAGATGGGAGAAGATCAAGAAAGGAAGAGTTAGAACACAATGGAATTTGTATGAAACGCATGAATAGTGACAATGGATTGATGTTTTGCAACAGGAACAGTTCAGTTTGATATGATGAACTGATATTTTGCAAATGAACGATTTACGATATTGTTTTCCAATTTTACTGAGTAACTCTGTAATTTTCGTTAAATACAATTTGGTTGCCCCACCTGTGTTCTCGTTCACTACAATATCATTGTATAAATAACCTCGTATTTTCTGGGTGCTTGTAGAATAAACTTTCTACGCCTTATCAAGACTTCTTGATATAGTTAGCCAGGCCGGGGAAAACGGATTGGAATAGGCTATCGTGTCACTGCATCATTTGTCTTCACTCTCGTTTACCGACTAAGGTGAACTCGTACTAGTAGCATTCAAGCATATCAGTTCACGGGGATATCAACTACTAAGAAATATTTATCTGAGTTATGCAAAAGAACACAATTCTTCATTATTTCGTATCAGTGAGATGAATAAGCTTTAGATTGGTAATACAATATGAGATTGTAAAGTCGAGAAAATAACTCAACCTAAAACCCTTCTATGGTTATTTCAGCCGGTTCAAAACCCACATAAACGAGGAGGGGCTGGGAATGGGATAAGCGACTTCATCCTGTAGAAATCCAACTCGTTGAAAACAAAATTCTAACCAGTAAAATAATTCGATGATTGATGGTTGTGTTAATTCATTGGTAAGAGAGAACAGCTTAGTAAAGTTGACTTTGTCTTAATGATAGCAATTGTTTTGAAACAGTTTTCTCAATTTGATACATTGAGATTGTTCTACTGATCTGCTGACTATTGTGCATTAAATCAGCTTTATGTTATATTGTATTGTATTAATTTGGAGATCGTTGTTTTTGCACACTGAAATCATGAAAAAACATTTGATCGCTAGTGACTAGCTTTGTGAGAAAATCCTCGAAGTTCAGGTGAGATGTGACAAGTGGAGTTCAACCCTGTCGGATGTAAGCAGTAACTACTGAACGCGATGCGTGAGATTGCTCAAAATCCTTCGATGTGTCAAAGTTAGACATTAACACCGTTCGATGCTTGCTCAGTTGTCCAAGCGTTGGCGCGCAAGACTGAAGGTCCTGAGTTTTAGAGGCCTGAGAGTAGCAGGAGTTGTGGAAATGTGTTCTGCTGATCAACTTTATGTTAGTTATACCATTTTATGACTTACTTACGCCAGTTAGCTCCCAATGGAGCATAGGCCGCCCACCAGCATTCTCCAACCTTCCCTGTCCTAAGCCTTCACTGTACATTTTTTTTCATTCTTCTCATATCTGTCTCCGATTCTCGGCGTAATGTGTTCCTTGGCCTTCTTCTCTTACTTCGACCTTGAGGATTCCAAGTGAGGGCTTGTCTTACGATGCAGTTGGGTCCTTTCGTCAATGTATGTCCTATCCATTTCCAGCGCCCTTTATTTCTTCCTCAGCTGGAATATGGTTTATTCTCTTCCACAGTAGACTATTGCTGATAGTGTTTGACCAACGGATCCTTAGTATCTTTTGCGTAAATAACTTTTAATGAACATTTGTATTTTCTAAATGATGCCTTTCGTAGTTTTCTAAGTTTCCATCCCACATCACATTTGTATAGAAAATTCTGATTTCATTGTTGGCTGATAGACAGTTATTTTGAGCTCCAGATTGTAGAGATGCAGCCTTTGATTTACCGATTCGCGCCTTCACATCTGCATCAGATCCATCTTGCTCATCAATGATGGTGCCCAGATAAATAAAGGTTTTTACGTCCTTCAAGGCATCTTCACCAAGATTGATTTGATTGGCGCATGTTGTGTTGCCTGTTGTAATTACTGTTTGTTACCTAAACACACTTACTTCGTACTGAATACAGAATATTTCACATTCTATGAAATATGCAATAATCTCAGCGATATAGTGTAT